TGGGCTGGGGGCAAGCTTTCTCCTTAGCGGCACACACCCCTTCCTGTCTAGGAATCCACCCTGAGTGATGACTCCACACCCCCCAGCAGCAGCCCCAAGATCCCAAGTGGTCCCCGGCAGGAGGCCAAGTGTTCCTATCCCTACCACACGCTGTCCCAGTCTTCAGATGAGGTGAGCAAGCCCTGGCCTCTGCCTCTGCCAGGTTGCAGGCCACAGCCCATGTTTCCCCCCCCCTCACTCTCCTTGGTTTCCACCCCAGTTCCTGGATGAACCTCTCCCCACTGTCCACCACTGGACCAGTCAGCATGTGGGCCAGTGGCTGCACAGCCTCAACCTGGAGCAATATGCCGCCGAGTTTGCTGCACGGCAGGTCGACGGGCCGCAGCTATTGCAGCTGGATGGAAGCAAACTGAAGGTGGGTCAGAGTGGAAAAGCCCTTATCCAGCAGGAGCCTGAGGCAAACTTCAAGGATTGGGATGCCCTCATCCTGCCTTGTCACTCCCTCTGAGGCCACTGTCCTGACCTCTGACCTCTAGGCAAGGCCCTTGGCCTAGTGTCTGCACTCTAGCATGGGTCCCCCCATCTGACTTGAAACTCATGCCCAATTTGTCAGTTTGACCTTCAAGCTCCAGGCCAAGTCTCCAGGTTGACCTTAACCTCTAGGGCTGTCCTATCATCGGACTCTTGACTCTGATGAGTCTCCTAGTATAGTGGGAAGCAAGCCTCTCCCTTGAGCACATTGTCTGATTCTCAGCCTTGGAGGCCAGTGGCAGTAGGGGAAGATCAGCGGGGGAGGCGGTAGGGTTGGGGGGCTCTGATCCCTGTGCTGGGGTTTCTGGCCTGTTCCCACCCTCTGCTGAATTGCTTGGGAGATGGAGTGGAGAGGAAGTCTGCAATGAGGAGGGGCCTTGCCAACCGACCAGCTGTGTGATCTCGGGCAAGTTGCTCTCCATCTCTGGGCCTCAGAGCAAGGGCAGGGGCAGGCCAAGGCTGAAATCCCGAGTAGAGGAATGGGAGCCAAGGATTGTGGGAAGGGGGACGGGCAAAGGGCCTGGTACTCTCCATCCTCATCTCTCCCAACCCACTCCCATTTGAAATTCTTGCCCTGAGGGTTCTGACCCATCTGCAAGTCAGGGAGGTGGAGGCTTCACTTCAGAGAGGGCTGGCGGAGCTCCAGACAGGGTCCACCTGAAGCACAAAGAACCTGGCATGGTTCTGGGGCGCTTTCCCTCACCCTCAGATTCTTCCCCCAGAGCCTGGGGCTCAGCAGCTCGCATGACCGGGCCCTGGTGAAGCGGAAGGTGAAGGAGCTGGCAGCGGCTGCTGAGAAGGAACGCAAGGCTCAGGAGAAGGCTGCGCGACAGCGCGAGAAGCTCCGTCGCAGGGAGCAGGAGGCCAAGAAGAGCTAGGGGAGCGTGAGGCAGGCATGGGGGGCACAGGCCTCTCCAGGGAGGTGGGGCCCGGGAGCCAAGCTTGGGCTGGCCTGGCCCCACGCTCTCCGGGATACATGCCCTCTCTCACCCTGTCAGTCTGTCTGGACCCAGATTCCCCAGAAAGGGAGATCCCAGGGAGAGGGCCCAGTAATAAATTGATTTCAAGGACTTGTTTGGCACAGAGTTCCTGGGGGAGGTGGCAGATTATGGGAAGAGGGCAAAGAGACCAGGGCTGAACCAGTCTAGGAGCCCAGAGGCACCTGGGTCAGTCTGACCCTCTGCCCTCAGGCCATGGTGGTGCTGGGGTTGGCAGTGAGCTAGGATGCCTGCTTGCCTGCCATCCAGAGGCCCTGAGACGGGTCAGGGTGCCAGGACTCCGAGAGGTGGCTGAGCATCTCAGCAGTAGGTGGATGCAGTTGTTCCTCTCCAGCTCTCCAAGGTGGCTATGTGTGGGGAGAGCTGTTCTGTTCCCAGGGAGGCTGGTGGGCACCGCAGCAAGCTGCACTCAGGGTCGACTCCAGTCTGCCTCAACAGGAGAGCAGAGGAAGCGGCACGGTTATCCCACATGGTCTTTGCAAGGACTTCAGAAGGGAGGATGAAACCCTCCTCTTCCTTCTCCCCTTCTGTCCTGTGATTCCAATGGTGAAATAACATTCCTACAGGTCTGCCCTTCCTGGGGCCTCTCTACAAGCTGTGCCCGCTTCTCCTGCTGCTCTCAGAGAGCACCTGAGCCCTCCTTGGAAACAGTGCAAACTTGGGAGCTGGTAGGGACAAAGGACACCCCCTACCAATGCCTAGGTGGGACTGAACTGGTGAATCCTCACCCTAGCCAAGCAGAGGCAAATCTAGGAGGGCCCCTGGAAGCTGCTAGACAGGAAGGGTTTGCCAGCCCTTCCCCATCTGCCCTGGTCCCCAGTGGGGCCTCAGTGGGCTCCAGAACTCGAAGACGGCAGGCTCTGGTTCACAGACTACGAGGAGAGGTGGGGCCAGACCCCGCGCCCATGGGGTAGAGTGTATCCCATCACCTTACGGATAGCATCTGTCCTTGGAGGAGGGGAGCTTTCAGGTCTGATGCTGGCCAGCAGCTAGCTCACCCAGCTTCTGGAGCACTGGCCGGAGTTACCAAGGGAGCCTCTGATTAGAAGCCCCTTCTACGTCCTCCCATCTGCCTGGAGCGGTGGACAGGGCCCAGTGCATGCTGACTCCTCGTTCCTGCCCAGGGCCTGTGGTTTGAGGGCCACCTGTCCCTGGGACCCAGCCCTTTCCTCCCCTGCTGTCTGTGCTGGGAGAGGGGCTGCAGAGGGAAACTGAGATATGGGGGCACCAGCACCATCTGGACCTGGTGGAGGGGCTGGTGGGGAGGTTGGAAGGCACCCAGGTCCTTGAAACTATCAGGAGCTATATGGGTGCCCACCTGCATGTGAAAGGGGGACGCAGTGCTCAATTTATTTCAATAAACACTTATGATGTGCCAGTGACCTTTCTGTCTGTGCCAGCTGGGGGGTTGGCCTGGGTCAGGGGGCTGTGCTGTGCCCCGAGTGTGGTGGGGTGACACATCTGTCACTCGGTACTGTGCTGTCAGGTGCTCTGAATGGATAGCTATGCCTGCTGTTGTACTCATGGTACACAGAGTCGTGCCCTTAGCTGGGCTTGGTGTCCTGAGCCAGTCATATGCTGGTCACAGGGACTGCAGCCTGCCTGCATTTGTTTGTATATGTCGATGTCGCTCTCCGCCCCTTCCCCCCCACAGCAGGAAAGCAGCCACGCTGAATTCTCATTGGATCTCCTCTTTACTGTGGATGTCACTGTCACCATCACAGCCACTGGGAGAAGCACACAACTTTAACCCCCTGTGTGCTAAGGGGAAGGGCGGGGACATTCAGGGCTATAAAGCTATAAAACTAGCTATGTACACAGAGCATTCTAGGGAGAAAGCCACCCCAGGCACAGGTGTGTCCGGGCACAGTGGGAGTTGGGGTCTGGAGCTCAGGTAGACGGTGTGGGTGTGAGGCAGGCAGGTGGGTATGTGCATGTTAAGACATGCAGGAAAGGGCTTGGGGGGGCGGCAGAAACACTGCTGGGGCCACCTACAGGGTTTCAAGCAGCTTGGCTGCGCGCTGACCTCAGGGTCCTCTTACGTTCCTCCGCTTTAGGGATGAGCTCCAGGTAAAAACTCCCTTTCTCCCAACCTTGATCTGAAGCTCAGAGAGGAGGGAGCGGCTGCAGGACCAGGTCCTCAGTTAGGGATCTGAGGGTACAACGCCTTTCCCTACCCACCACCCAGCTCTGGGGGGCACCCAGTCCCTTTCTAACACTGACATGGGGCCAGGGCTGGGTGCCTGAGCTAAGGGAAGAAGGCAAGCAGGGGTGTCGCCGGGAAGGCCAAGCTGTGGGGGGCAGTGAGGGGGACCCAGGACCCCTGGCAGAAAAGTGGCAGCTCTGGTCTCAGAAAAGAGGACTGCCATGGAAACGTATCTCTGGGACACCCCAACAGGGTGGAGACATCCCCCAATCCTCAGAGATCGCCCACAGAGATTGGACACTGGGCAGACCACCTAAAGGTCTCCAGGAGACAGAGATTGGCACTTAGGGGTCACCACAAACTGGTCACCGCAGTGATTTCCATAGAGACAGAAGCTGGTCATCAGGGAGAGCCTCCCCCCACCTGGGGGGAATGGGGAGGGTCACCATGGTGGCCGGTCCCAGAGACAGCAGTCCATCCTCTTTGAGTACAGATGAGTGCGGTGGCCTCTAGCTGACACGGTACGTGGACGTGTTCTTGGGCTCCGTGCTGGGCACACACCAGTCGCCGGCCTCCTGGATGGTCTGGTAGTGGCGCCAGGCTGACTTGTTGTAGACGGGCAGACGCTCCACCGAGTCCGTGGACAGGGCCTGCAGAGTATCGCGCTCAGCCTCCCCCACGTCCCACTGCCCTGTGCCTTGCCTACTCCTCAGTGACCACCCTGGCTCCAAGGTGGGCTCTGGTGGCCACTGACTGTGGCCCGCATGTCAGCCCAGCCAGGTGCCAGATACTGACTGAGACAATCAACCCCAGCCCAGGAAGACCCTCAAAAGGGTCTGTCCCCCTGTGTCTTGCTCCTTCCTACTCAAGGAGGCTGCTCATTCACTGGGTCAGGGAGGGGAAGCCAGGAGATTGGGCTCTGTGACCTTGAACAAGGTCACCCACTCTGGGCCTCCAGCGCCCCCCGAGATGAATGACAAATACTCTAGGGTACCCCCTTCCTTCTGGGTCTAACAGGTCAAGGGGCCCCAGAACAGGGGTCTTAGTCATGGACCATGGACTTCCTCAAGTTGCCTGCCAAGTTGGGAACATCTGGGGGCTGGGGAACTGTAGCTTTGCTCTGATTCTCAGTCTGGAATTGGGAAAGGATTGGAGAAATGGAAACGAAACCTAACAGCAGGCTGATCCTGCGAGATCTGTCAGCAAATCCCCCAGCAGGGCTCTGCAAGCAGGGACCCTCACCTTGAGATAGATGACAGCATCGGTCCCAAAGCCTTCCATGGAGAAAAGCTGTAGGTCCCCCTGGAAGTACTTGGCATAGAGGCGGGAGATGGGAAGCCCATACCCGAAGCCAGCCTGTAAGGAGGGCAGCAAGGGAGTGTGATGAGGAGGCTGGTGCTGCAGCAACCAAGATGCTAAATGAGGAGTGCTGAGCTGGGGCCATGCAGGGGATCCCCAGAACTGAGGTGGGTGGGGACACAAGAAAGGGAAGGCTCTGAGGCAAGCTGGAGGATGAGAGAGATCAGTCTGGGAGAGGGAGGAAGGCTGAGGAGGCACAGTGGAGGCAGGGGTGAGTTGGCAGGGCAGGGAGAGGAGCTAGGCCATGGTAGCCAGGGAGTCTGGGAGCTAGGTCTTGGTAGCCAGGGAGCCTCAATTTCCCAAACCCAGGACTGCCTACTCCGCTGAGAATGGACAGGGAGGTGCTGATGAGCTGAACAATGCCAAGAGAGGGGTGGTAACTCTGCGGGGATACAGAGGGGAGAGGGAGAACTGAGGAAAGGGGACAGACAGACACCCACAGATAGGTAGGGAGGTGCAGGCTGGAGAGAGATGAAGAGCAGGGAGGCCCAGACTCAGGAGAGGGGACTGACATCACACACAGCCACACTGAGAATGGAGAGACCAAGGGAGATAAGGAAGCGAGAGATAGGGAAGAGGAACAATTTGATAAGGAAAGGTCACGGACATCCTTTAGGAGGCAGGAAGGGAGTTGGAATGAAGCCATCTCACCAGCGGTGTCCCCCCGGTGCCAGGCTGGGGGGTGGGTGCTGTGGAGTACATGTAGCTGAAGAGTCGCTCAATCTTCCTCAAGGGGACACCCCCACCTCGGTCACTCATCTGGGGGAGATGGGACATGTCAGGGGCTCTCCAGACCTGTTTTCCACACGCCCCCACCCTTTGCCATCCTTGACCTCCTGGTCTTCCTCACCTCAGGGTCTTCCCAAGCCTATCTCCTGGCAGAAGGGAAGTCCCCACCCCACTGCTCCCAAAGTCTAGGGTCACATACTTTGTTGTTGTTTTTTTGTTTGTTTTTTTAGCTGAGCCATCCTGCCACCTGTTGGCAGCTCAGTGGCAGCTCAGCTCAGGCTGGGAATCGAACCGGCAACCCTGTTGCTCAGAGCTCTCATTCTTGAGTGAGCTCTTAACCAACTGAGCCACTCAGCCAGCCCTAGGGTCACGTACTTTGATGGACAGATCTTCCTCGCCCAAGGCCACCATGACCTTGATAGGTGGGAGAGTGAGGCTGGATTCATGGCTTTCCACCGTTGCTCGCATGGCATTCTGTGGAGGGAAAGCGGTAAGAGATAAGTGAGAAAGGCCTACCTCTAACTGCTCCTCACCTCCCACAAAGGACCATCCCCCAGATTCCTCACCTTGAAGAGTTCAAAAAGCATGTGGTAGAGGTGAGAGGGGACATAAACCATGTGAATTGGCTGTGTGGAGTTGGATGCTGCTGGGGAAGTCAAAATCAATGATCAGAAAATTGTCAAGAGGTCGCCATTCAGCATCAGTCACCCAGTCTCTAACACTCGGCACTCAGCCACCATCCATTGTCCATCCATCTGCTCATCCATCCACCCAGCCTTCATTAATTCATCTATCCATTCATTCAGTGTCCATTCAACCATCTATTGGGTTGTCGGAAAAGTCATGCAGCATTTTTGCAACGAAAAACATAGAAAAAGTATGTCATGCCTTTTCCGACAACCCAATATCTATCCATATAGTATCCATCCATTATACAATGTCCGTCTGTCCATCCATCATCCATCCACCCACCCATCCATCCAATATCCATCCATTCATCAGTCATGTCCATTCAACATCTATTAATTCCTCTAGGCAGTGTCCATTCAATCATCCAATTGTCCTTCAATCTATGCATCTGTTCAAACATATATCCTTACCACCTATCTATTCATTCATAGAGTACAGATCCATCCTTTCATTATTCCATCATTTACTTATCATTCTTCCATTCAAATGCTGTATTTTGCTGTGTATAATGTACTCCTATGTATAATGCACACCCACATTTTTGGCCCAAACTTCCAGGGGGGAAAATCTTTCATTTTAATTTTTAATTCAAATTTTTATTTGTTTACACTTAGGTACTTGTTTTCTGTATTATAAAGGAATTTTAGCATTTATTTTTTAACATATTAGGGTACAATAAATTTTATGTAACAAATAATTATAAAACACAAGAACAAATACAAGGTACAAGAAATTTTATGTACCAGTAACAAATTTATGATATTTACACAGCATAGAAGGTCAAGAACTTTTTGTCATTGCAAGTTCATCCTCAGTTCAACAAAACTGATTATCGTATTCCAGGGTATTATTTTGCATACAGATATTGTTATTGATTTCTAGAGTTACACTTTTAACTCATAAGCATAAATAAAAGAAAAAAACATTTATATAGATACAGAATTAGTGCTACCCATATATAATGAGCCTCCTTATTTTTCCTTCACAAATATGGGCAAAAAAGTACACATTATACACAACAAAATACAGTAGTATCTATCCTATATCCAGCATTCGCCTGGATACCAAATCCCCTGGAAAGCTTTTTCACCCAGTGGGAGAGGGGTACTGCCCAGGTGATTCTGACACAGCACCCTGCTTCCCAAGAATCACTCTAGCCTGGAGGGTTTCTTGGTGTTAGGGAGTAAGCGTTTTTGCCTGGTACCAGGCACAGAGCTCTGTAGGTAGGTAACAGGAGCTCAACACACGTGCAATGGATCAATGGATGAAGGAATCTCAGGCCCTGTGCTGGGCAGTGGGGATACAAAGATGAATAAAATTCAGCCCTACCCTCTCGGAAATTCAAGTCTACACCTGACTTTCACATTAGGTGTTGTACCCGAGCTGTGTGCCAAGCCCTGGGTTTGACCCTGGGGATACTGAAGTAAAGTGGCCTGTGTCTGCCCTTTGGTCTCTGTC